TGTGGCGTACGTTAACATCGGATGCTATTACGTAGTGGGGATCCCATTGGGATTTGTTCTTGGTTTCACCTACGACATGGGAGCCAAGGTAATTTATCAAAACTATTAATTAATAAGTTCACAAATAAAATATTCATTGGGACGATCGAGAGCCTTACAAAGATTTATAAAATTATTCGAATCGAATATTCAGATATTCATTACGATCGTTGTGTCACGGTGCAGGGAATATGGACTGGGATGATTGGGGGGACACTGCTACAGACCATAATTCTAATTATTGTCACTGTCAGAACAGATTGGGACAAAGAGGTAAACACAATTATTTAACAAAATTATAGTTTTTACGTATTATCATATTTAGATTTGATATTTAATTTTGCATGGATGGATATACGTAATTCTAATGACTGTTTCCTTTTTCGTCCTTGCAGGTGGAGAAGGCGTCCAGCCGCTTGGATGAGTGGGAAAGCGAAGGACCGCTTCTAAAACATTAAAATAAAATAAAATAAATGGCCATCTTTTGCTCATTTATTTATTTTTATATTTTTGGATCGACTGGTTGGAAGCTATTATCAAATTCGAAATTCGAATTTGATTATGAGAGCTGGCAGGCTGCTGATTATTTCAAAAATTTTGCAATCCCTTTCATTGATCAAGAGGTTTGATTAATGTGTCGGAAAATCATTAGTTTTCCGGTTGAAACAATGAAAAATATTCCATGTTTTTGTAAGGGGTTGAGCTCTCATGATGAAATGAAGAAATTCGTTCCGCAATATTTCCCCTAATATGTCACTAAGTTTTTTTTTTCCTAATATTTTCCAGGCCAGATATTTGAGCTTTATCATATATAATCAACCGAATTGAACTAAATAACACTATGTAAATCAAATATATATAAATTGATTTTTTTATAATTTTTTTTGTAAAAAAACAAATCACTATAATCTAAATCGAATTTAAATATGAACATAATAGAAAATTCAAACGAAAGGTATTGTTTTTTAAATAATATTTTTTTCCATGCAACCAAGAATATCGATCAGAAAACCAACATTAGACATAAAACCAAATGCTATAATAATGTCCACAAAACTAAAAAGTAATCTTACTGAAGTCTGAAATATAGAGCAAATCTGAAATGAGTGGAATCCATGGAAGTTGCAATATATTATCGATCGTTCTATCATTTTTCTTGATTTATTTTTTATAAATATTGTTATAACCTTTTAATAATTTTTTTGTTATTTTTATTATTTAATATTATTAAATCGTAGACGGTTGATGATATGTTAGGATAAAATTGTGGTATGTTAGAATTGAATACTTATTTTTTTTTGTGTAGGGAGTTGGTTTGTCAATTTTTAAAAAATATAAGTATTTTATTGTTAAATATAATAATTAAGAATTTAATAAAATAAAGAATTATAGAATTAAAATTGCGACGAGATAAAAATATAAGATTCTTAATGAATTTTTTTCTAAATTATATAAAATAGATAATATAGAATAATCCATACGTCTGGGGAGTTGGTTTGTCCATTTTTAAAAAATAAAAGTTTTTTATTGTTAAATATAATAAATAAAAATTTAATAAAATAAAGAATTATAGGATTATTTTCATTAATTTGTTTTTTGTTTCTTCATTTGACTCGAATAATTTGTATATCCGACACGTCTCTAATTAAATTTGGTCCAGACAACAAATTGTAACTTGATATTGAAGATGCTAAACGAAGCAAACCACATCAAAGTTCATGGGAATCAATGTGGTTGGGTTTCCATACCATTCACGACACAATGATGTTACAAAAGAGTAGGGGTGTCAATTTTGATTCCAAATACGAAAATTCGGTCTAAATTCACCTAGAAAATAATCGGGTTCATGTTAGAATTTAAATCGGGTTCAAATTGAACTTCGAGTTTGCTCGATTAATTCTGACGGATTTCGGACGACTCAAAAGCGCAATTTTTAAAATAATAATTCAAATGAAAAGAATCGTAATCTAACTGATCGATCCATCTGATGCACACGCACCGAGTTCTAAATTTGTAACCCGATTCATACCACTAACCGCAAGTATACGGTAGTTGTAGTACCGGAGTCGATCACGAGGACTAGGTGATATTAATCTATCTTAAGGCTAGGTTGATGATGGAAATGAGGTTAAAATGATGATGGTGATGATGTGAACTAAACTAAATGTAAGCAAATAGGAATAAACGGTTAACAATCAATGATTCAAGCGTTGTAGGTTCGAGATCCCCTTTTGATTTGCATGGATAGTTAAAGATGATATGATGTCTATGATGTTCATTTCCAAATGAGGGATTTCAAGCATCTTAAATAGAGTTTGTCTCTCCCAAGCTTAAACTCACTACCCAAGGCATCAATTTACCCATCTCCCAATGATCTAAATGACCCTTAGATGCATGAATGCTCTCTATCACAAACCCTAGGCAAGCAAAACCATTTCCCAATGTGAATGTCTCACCTATTTGGTGTTTAGTTCCAAACAACACTCCCATATCTCTATGATCAATGTGTTCTAATATCATACCAACTAAGATTTCGCCAAAGTTGGAAGCATGAAGTACAAAACACCAAACCCATGGAAAAGAACTCATAAACACCATAGTTAAGCATATGAATCCATTACAAAAGTGGGGATCCCTCACCCACAACTAAGTTTCTACTCCATGTTCAAAAGAGGGAAACAAAAAGAGACAAAGAAAAGCATGGTAGAGAAGAGAAAGAAAGGCTTAGTGTGGTCTTCAATGGTGATGATCTCTTCTTCTTCTTCTCCAAGTCTTCCCTTGCTTCCCAAGTTCTCCTCTCCTCCAAAAGTGGCTGATTTCAAAGTGCCCAAAAAGTATGCTTCTTTCTCCCCCCTTTCCTCCTTTGTGAAAAACCCTAAAAAACTTCTTTTGTTTTCTGCAGATGGGCTTCTAAAGTGGGCCAAATCTGAGTAGATTTTCGTCATACCTAAAATAGGCGGTAGCCCGTATAAGGGAGTGGTAGCTCGGAATTTTCGACATGGCAGAAAATCTGGGCGGCTAGCTGGATTAATCGGGCTGTAGCTCGATTCTTCTATTCTGTTTGTACTCGTTGCTTTCAGCTTGTAACGCTCGTTTTTCACCTCCAAAAGCTCCATCTAACACCTAGTTCTGCACAACATAGAAACAAAGGCATACTCTACCCCTAGATGGTCTCTACATGCATAAAGTTAGTAGTAAATGCATCAAATGTCGCCAAGAAAATGCATATAAAAATGATGTGATCACCATCCCGATTTGAACGCGAGTTTTATAGAGTTAGACTTCAGATTCCGTTTTATAGACACAAAAAAAAAAAAAATCACACCGTTCCGAACGCAAACTCAAAACCCTCAAACAGAGTTCGAGTCGGATAGGGCCGTTTGATACATATGTGCAAAGGACGTGTCTTAGAAGAATCATATGTAATTGGTAATGATTCTCGGTCTCACCGCAGCTCGTTGTACGGAACAAACCAGTGGCTCTCAGCTCAATCACACTTGCACTCATTGCATTTCGGCTTCTTGTGCAGCGTACGTAGGACTCTCATCATGCCTACTCGCGTCGCGAATGACCTTTTTCTTTTGTTTTCATCGTATCATTATTGTTCTAAAACTCGTTTATGCGAAAGTGGGGACTCCTCACTTTTGTCTCTTTTTTTGTGTCCTCGGATTCAGACGTGGCCTCCTGCATGGGTACGTTTCCCTCTCTCTGTCCTTTTTGTAGGCCGAAAGCATACGTTGTTTTGTCTTGTATGTGTGTTCATTATTTCCTGTCGTGAGTATATGTTGGGCTAATAATGTAGAGGCCCAGCATGATGTGAACATCAATACCTACTAAAGTTTTTCATTCATAAAATCCATCGGACATCGACATTAATCTCAATTCACACAAGTAATGTTTTTTTTTTATATTAAACTGATTTTCTTTAAATATAATTAGTGACGTGGCTGAGAAGTAGAGCATAGCCGTTCACACACAAAAAAAAATTATCTGATTCCCATGGGAATGTAGGTAATATGACATAGTTAGCAGTATCCAGTATCCAGCTGGTTTCTTCACAAAAAAAACTTTTATATATATATATATATATATATATAGATGTGTAAATATGATATGTATATATATGTGTGTATATATGTATGTATATATATGTATTTGTATAAATTTATTGTGATTTTTTTATATAGACATACATACATATATATATATATATTCATATATATACACATATATATACACATCTATAAATATACACATCTATATACATAAATGCATATATATATATATATGTATATATATACATATATATATATATGTATATATATGTATATGGATTTAGTCATCTAATTTTTTCTCGACTGAATGATGTGGGATTTTAATATATATATGTATGTATTATATATATATTATATTTTTTATTTTTTATTTTAATATATTTATGATTATTTTTTATTTATTTAATTATAATTAGTTTTTAAATTTTCAGACGGATGATTTGGAAAAAAGTCAACGCCACGTTAGATCATCCATTAATTGTTTAAAATCGATAATTTTTTTTGTTAAAAATTTAAAAGTTTGCTATTTTTTTTTAAAATCAAAATCGATGAATTGATATTTATTTTAAAATTTTTAAAAATTAAATATTAATATGATAATTATCTCAAAGTTTAGTAAACGTATGATAGATATGATATGAGCAAAGAGGGACACCCGATATTCAGGTATTTATGGCCTCCCTACATGTAGCTCTCCAGCTGAACCCGTTGATGCAGCCTTCCATTCTTCTTATACAACTCTTAACTATACTTTATAATAAAATGTCGTACGGACGAATTAATTAAGGAGGACCACCGATTTTGATTGTTTGTTTGGGTCAGTGACCATATTTATTGCGAGGAAGCCATTGTCAGATACCATGAACAACCATACTCGCTATTTTTAATGGCCATTACGGATATATGTATATCTCCGTTGAGAATTGAACGTGTAGTACGTACTTGCATTCAACGCATAGGACATTCGGACATATCACAAATTAGACCAAACACACCCAAAGTAAAACATGATTAACGCACCCTATTAAGACATTCTAAATAAAGTAACCCCACGATTACCACAACACCTAGCTCGTATATATATATATATATAACTCACACAAAGCACATGCCCGATAAACCATACGGATATATATATATATATACCCATCAAATCCTAGGAAGAATCCGGGCTTTGAGAGGGTTCTTCATCACGACCGTGAAAGCGTAAGTCTCGGTCGGGTCGGGTGGGTGACCCGGATCGGATACCCATTTGAACGAGTGGACCATCCTCGCCAGCATCAACTTGATATGCAAGATGCCCAAACTCCAGGCCGGGCAGATCCGGCGCCCCGCTCCGAAAGGCAACATTGTGACGCCACGTGTCCCTGTCCAGTCGGAGTTAAAGCCTTCTCCTCCGGTCAAGAACCTCTCCGGCCGGAAATTCCCCGGGTCGGGCCATATCTCCGGGTTCTCCGTCACCCACGCCGTGTAAAATTCCAAATATGCCCCTGCCGGGATCTCGTACCCTCCGAGTTCCGTGTCCTTCACGGTTGCGTGCGAAAGAAGGAAATGCCCGGGAGGGTGTCGGCGAAGAGTCTCCTTCACTACGGCTTCTAAATAGGGCATCTTTTCCACATCATCTTCCTCCACGACGCTGTTTTTTCCGACAACACTATCGATCTCGTCGTAGAGTTTCTGCTGTACGGTTTCGTCCGTGACTAGATGGAGTAGAGCCCACTCCACGGTCGTGGCGCTAGTGTCCGTACCGGCGGACACGATCTCCGAGCAGAGGGTGACGTATTCTTCGTCCCCGAGCTCTCGTTCGCCGCATTTCAGGTCAAACAATGAGTCCACGTAAGCTGCTCCGATTGGACTCACCATCTCTGCATTAGGGTTTTCACGTTTCTTGACGAACAAGCGACGTTTCCTAATCAACGGGACAAGGCAATCGAGCTGTCGTTTCCTCAGTTCCTTCGCCTGTTTCACCTGACGGCGAAACAAAGGCGTTAGCATCGGTAAGAAATCAGGTAACTGTGGCGACGTTATCAGCATAACGTCCTTCAAAACGCTCTCTATGCATTTGATCTCTTCTTCCGTTATCTTCGCACCGAAACATAAACATATCAATATGCTACATATCGTTAGCCTGCAATTGCTCATGACCTCGACCAATCCCTTCTCGACACTCTCCGTTTTGATCCTGTTCATGTGATTCTCCATGGCCCACTTGCGTATCCACGAACACTGACGAACCCTAGTCGGGGTTATTAGCTCGGTCACGAAATTCCGCCTCAGAATTCGCCATAACGGGCCGTACTCCGCCGAATTTATGGCACATTTTCCGACACTGAACATCAGCCGGATCGGAGAATCCCGCGGCCGGGAAGCGAACGTTGCTCCACGTTGGACCAAGGCCTCGTGGATGAGTTTCTCGTCGGTTACAATAATCATCGTACGTTGTCCCATTTGCATTGTGAATATTGGTCCGTACTTTTTACGTAGATCTCTCATCATGAACACGAAATGACGACGTTGAAGCAACACACCGACAAGGTTTCCGACCAGAGGCCAACCAGGCGGCCCAGGTGGAAGATTCCGACGGCCGCTGCCGCCGTAACGGCGCCACCACAGGCAGAGAAAGTATAGGACCAAGAAGAATATGACAATATCAGTGAGCTCCATATACAATAATGGAGATTTGCGGACAGAGACCGAAAGAAGAAGAATTAGAACAGTGAATGATGGATTTTATTGCAAATTCTCGTGATACCAAGAGATTAGGGTTCTTATAGAAATAGAGGGTAAGTAAACGTGTACGTGTGTGAGTTTAATTATTTTACTAAGCGTGTGAAATAATGGTCTACCAACTCTCTGCGTGCATTTACTGCTGTGCGTATTTATATTATTATATATCCTATGTTAATCTATTAATCATGATTTTGTGTTTAGTTTTGCCTAAATACTCCATAAATTACGGAGACCTATATGTTTAATTAAGACTATAGTTATCCTCGTTTTGCTAATTAATCTTGTTGGTGGTTCGAGGTTAGTAATTTAGTATTTGACACGCAGAAATTTTCAAATTTTTAACTAATATACAATTACATACCTTATGATCAGTCGTTTCAATAACAATTTTTTCTTGGAATTTGTCGCCCAATTTATTGTAGAACCGACGATTTCGTTTTCAAAATTATGTATGATATATTATCACAAAACTCTTTGACATGTTGGAAAATAATCAAACTTTCTTTACGAGATTTAGTGCATCATCATCATCATCATCATTAATTGTCTTATAAATTAATGGCATGCCTATAAACGAATTAATGGAAATCATAACTAACCAAGAAATTTACGGCTTATTTGTGCTTATAACAGTTATTTTTTTTTAAAAAATGTAATTTTAACTATTTTAATTATATTAAAAGACACTCCTGTTAGAACATATTTATGTATTACCGGTTAATTTTTTTAAAAAAAAATTCATGATGTTGTTAAATGATTATATTTGGGTCCTGTGGTACAAATTATTAACTGTTATTTCTCCCAGATGCGAAACAATGGAGAGTTAATATTCTGAAGAGTTACTATTGATAAACCTGTGTGACAGGTGGAAGTTGGTTGGACAAATGTTAATGTCTTGACTGGTCGCTGTTTATTTATGTATTTATTATTTTACATCTCAAAAATGGGTCCTATTATGTATTTTGGTTATTGGCTGCTATAGGTACAAGTTAAAAATAAATATTATTACATTGAATTGGATGTGGTTGGAATATGAGTTGTCCTAGTTACAGATGAACATAAATATAAATAATATTGATTTTACTTTGTATTTTAATCGTATCGACTCTTCGGATCTGTGTTTAAGTGTTAAGATATGTAATGAAAAATATAATTTAATGGACCGATTCTTTGAATGTTGTACTATTGCTTGTTCCCTGTATTGTTTTTATTTGTCACATATATGCCTCCAAACCCAAATCATTATACATGTTGATGTTGTGTTTCCGAAAATACCCAATTAAAATTCAGTTGGCCTAATTCGCGAACCGAAGAGAGTAAAATGAAGAATGACAAAAACTATAATAACGTGACACAGAAAGACAAAAAAAAAAAAAGATAGAAACTTAAAATCGTTTGTTTCACTCCGAGTTCGAATTTCAATTTGGAGAAGAGAGTATAATTCCAATCATATGGTTTGCTTCCGACTCTATAATTAGTTTGAGTCTCGATTTAAGATATCTAATTATCAAAAAAAAAAAAGATTGGAATCGTTTTGATCGTATTGTCAGCCATTACTTTGAGTCTTTAACCGTATCAAAAATCAAATTCAATCCTGCGAGCGTTATCCTCTGCGGGTAATTTTTGAGAGCATAAACTATTGGCTTAACGTTTTCATATTTCCTAAAAAAATGCACAAGGCAAATTGGTTGGTTCCCTATGTGCCTCGTTCCTTGGGAAAGGCTTGCAATACAAAGTAGCGTGGAGGAGAGTTACTGCCCCTAGAGAAAATGGGGTCTAGGGCTGCCGAATTTATTGAATTTATTGAATATTCCGAAGATATTTGTTAATATCCGTATTCCACTTCAACCATGACAAAAATAAAAAATAAAATTATAAAACAAACTCAAATGTAATATAACATATATATAATCTATCAAATGTAAACCATATTCAAAATTTGAAACTCATAATACAAAACATTCTAAATCAAGTCAAACAAACACAATCATAGTCTATCATATTCAATCATATTCTAAATTCAAAATTCAAAAGGTTATACATCATAAATCTACATATTTCAAAAGATTAAAAATTCTAAATTTTTATATGTAAAAAATGTGTCTTGAATCTCCATGAAAAACTTGTAAAGATTAATCATTTTAAATTTTCATACAAAATATTCATTTATTTAATAATATTATTAAAAATACAGATCCAATCGAATTAATATATCAGATATCCATATCCAAAAATATTTTTAAACAAATATCCGTATTCGATCTGTCAATTCTATATATCTGAATTCTCGGTTCGAATACGAATTGATTCGGATTTTTCAAATATTATGTCCACCCCTATGTCTAATTAATATAGGCGATGAGTATTATTTCGGGCAACACAATGTAAAAAGATATATATCATAATATTTTCCATGAAATTCGGACACTAATTTTTGTTGGATAAATTTCTCAAGAATGTTAAGAATGCCCCACTTGAGACAGTGATACACCTCGAGAACAAAACCAAATACACGATGTTGTCCACAGCTCCATGAAATGTAAAACGTATTCTCGATCACCTCTCATAATGTTCGGGTGCGGCACACAGATTTTGCCTAATCAATGGATGATCATGTAACAGAGATTGATAGAAGAAAAAAAAAACTCTTTATCTTCCTTGGATCGCTGTTAGTGTCGCTTCGTTTATCGAGTACACATCTTCAGACGTCGAGTGCTGATCATTTCTCAAAGCGTTGCAGTACGTGAACATCGGTTGTTTCGGTTGCGGTAACTCCTTGTCGTTGCTCAGCATGTATGCGATCTGCGAAATGGCCGGCCTCTCCGTAGGGTTGTCCTGAGTACAAAGCAAAGCGACGTGAACGCATCTCGTTACTTCTGTCGGAGAATATGAACCCTCCAATGCTTCGTCGACGAGGTTTAGTCCCTCCGTCTCGATCCAACATTCCCATGCCTGAGGAACACAAAGCTCTCCGAGACTCATGTTGTCTTATAATGTATGAAGAGAATGGAAGATTGAGTTTGAAACTTGACTTACGTAAGAAACTAAGCTATGTTTTTTACCCTTGTGAAAAAACCGAGTTACTTTCTTGCCTGATATGATCTCTAACATGAGAACTCCGAAGCTGTAGATATCCAATTTTTCTGAAATCATTCCCCCTAATGCATACTCCGGTGACCTATACCCACTGCGCAAAATTCCATTGGCGCGAATGATCCTCGGGTATATCGAGATCCTAAGATTCTAACTTAGAAATGTCTGCATACCATTCTTGATCCTCGGGTATCGATCAGTTTCAAGCATGAGGTAGGGAATGCAAGATACTTACAATGTACCCACGATTCTGTCGGTGCTATCTTCAACTTGTTTGCATTGGAAGATCCGAGCAGTTCCGAAATCTGATATCTTAGGATTCATCTCATCGTCCAGAAGAATGTTACCTGCTTTTAGATCACGATGGATGATTTTGAGGCGCGAGTCTTCGTGCAGATATTGGAGCCCTTTTGTCGTACCGTGTACTATCTTCATACGCTTCTCCCAGTCTAACTCTTTACATTTATGACTGTCTATTTGCCCGAACGAACGAGAGAAGAAAAAATATCAGTCTCGTGCGAGCTCAAAAACTACGATATGCTAATTAATCGAAGTGTAGTTACCGAAAAGAAAAGCGTCGAGGCTCTTATTCGGCATAAACTCATATATCAGAAGCTTCTCATCTCCTTCCATGCAGTATCCCAAAAGCCTAACCAGGTTTTTGTGTTGAAGCTTAATGATCAATATCAATTCGTTCTTGAACTCTGTAAGACCCTGACTCGACTTTCTCGACAGCCTCTTGATCGCAACATCCATTCCGCTCGGTAGTTTTCCCTGTGATCAAACCAAAACATCTTAGGACATAGTGCCGACAAAAGCATTTTCGGTTAATGTTATCAAGAGATAACAAAATTAGCGAGTTTCACCTTGTAAACGGGCCCGAAACCTCCTTCTCCTAACTTGTTGTCATCAGAGAAACCGTTTGTTGCAGCTATTACAGTTTGTAGACTCACGTAATTCATCCCTTGATCATTGTTACTGTTCTCCGAATCCATTATGCCTCCATCAAGCAGAGGACCATGCGTTTTTCCTTTGATTTCCCCGCTCGACATTGCGTCTGCGTGACGTGTGTTTCAATCATTCAAATAACAACTTGACGAGTAATATAAGGATCGATACTTCTATAACGCCGCGAAACATACCTTTTCTCACTCTTCTCCGGCGATACGAGAAATAGCAGCAGAGACCGATGAGAAATGTGAGCACCACTGCTGGTACAGTGGCGAACACGGCGGTGGTCCTAACTTTTCCCTTTCCTGTAGCTCCTGTGACTTAGTTGTCACAAAATACATGGGAAAACATTGTACAAAGTGAACATTTATTGAAAGTTGATCTTAAAACAAGAATCAGTTTCTTGGTTGCGAACGTTCGGATGATCAAGTAACTCGCGACTGAGTGTACCTGTTCCTTGTGTCTTTACAAAGGTTCCGTTGAAGAACGGATACTTTTCATATCTTAGATAGCAGCTGGCGCCCAAAACCCGCCATCCGACCTTCCCTTTGCAGCAATCGCCGATACGATTCGTCAGATTATTCAGACAAGTACCGCAAGCGTTGGCATCTATGTCTCTAGTGCATTGAACCATTCCATATCTTTCGATCGAGGCGTTTTCTAATTGATCGGCTGCATACAGTTTATCGGAACGCTGCGCCCTGTCGATCAGCGTGTAAATCAAACCGATGGACCCGAAATCCATGTTGTTCGGATTGTTGCTGCTGTTAGGGTTCCAATAGGGCATTGCCGGCCATGTTTCTCCCGAACCGAAGAAGTTGACATTGGAATAGTGTAGCATACACTCATCGTACCACACGATTGCTTCTTTCCGAGCATCGCATCGATCGAGAATGTCTTTGGCGGCGAATCTGACGCAGTTTCTGCAGTTATCCATCGACATGTCGCCACGACAGAGGAAGACGCCATACACAATGTCGGGACCGCGGCCAGATTCCGAGGTTCGGAATCCGTTGGCGTAGGAGGAGTTGATGGAGGAGGAAAGGTTGGAGAGAAGTGTTATTAGGTTTGATTCGTAGGTATTTGTACTTGTGAAATTGATGACTTGGGGACAGAAGTGCAGAATATAAGCAGGATCTGTTGCTTGTGTCGCAAGGTAACGGAAACAGATCAAGACGAGACAAGAAACGATGCTGCTAAATCCGCAGGAAGCCATGTCTGATTCCTCTCACTTCTGCTAAAGATGCAGGACAAAACAACAGAACATAAAGGCAACAGAGATGCAAAGAAGTTTAAGTCAACGAAGGATGCTTGGCCTTGACTTTTTTTTTTTTTTTTGGTGTTGGAAATGGCTTATAAAAAATGAAACAACTCTTTATTTTACTTCTCTGCATACGGACCCATTGCTGTAGATTCTTTATTTTATCATTTTACTCGAGAAGACATATTTTTTTCTCAATATTTTGTATTTTGTCTTGAATATATATATATGTATATGTATGTATATACGCACACTCTAGAATAGGTCAAAATCGCTTATAGAACACCTGCAAACATTATTCACAGGAATGCTTGTCATTTTACTTTCTGATATTAAAATTTTTAAATACGTATATTTTAATATGGAAATCGATAGCCTATCAAAAAATTGCGAGGGTCAAGATCAATTCCCACACAACGAACCCCTAGACAAGTGGGGGAAAAAATATATATATATATATATATAATCGGTCTCCATTTGTTCAATAGTTATCTAGATTTTTTTTTTTAATATTTGGGATTTGAATCCTGGTGGTGAATAGCATCTTATATTCCTCTTGCCACCCGTCTATCTCACTGGATAGTTATCTAGATTATTCACAAGATAAAATTGAAAAATTATTATTTATATGTTTTTAAAAACTAGTGGGAAAAAATCTAATCGGTCTCCATTTTTTAAAAAATTTTAATCCTCTCGTCTAGTTTTTTTTTGGTTAAAATTTATATTATTTATATCTCTTACACTCACGAGACCACTCATCACCCTCATCATTATAATCCGGAATACTATATATATAGTATTTTTTTTATAATGTATAAAAGTTGGTGCGGAAAGTAGATATTGGGGATGGCCAAGAAGTGGGTTAATCCAACCTAATCGAATAATAATCTTTTTTGGATTGTTTGATTGGATTATTTTAATTAAATAGTTTTTTTCCGTTAAGATTATGATTAAATAGATTAATCCATTGAACCTAATTCATCCAGTATAATTATATAAAGCATCGGAGGCGATAGGCAGGGAGGAGGATAGAGACAACGACGAGATAATTAACAAACGAAATTTCTAATTTTTTTTTCTCGAATAAATCGTATTATAAACATAATTTATGCATTTTATGTCTATCACATATTTATGAGCATGATTTTGATTGTTGCCATGTACTCTAAACCTCATATTTTTTAATAATAATATTATTATAAAATGGGATATTGAATATACGAATGCAGAAATTAATGTCTCTGAATGAACATCATTGAGTTCTGAAACTTTTGTGTTCTGAAAAAAGTGAAAGAGGAGACAAATTCGTGAGCGCTACAGTGTACAAGAACAACAATAATAACACAAGATCACGATCAATCTCAAACTAATGGTCATAAACGCGATTTATTATCTATTAATTTTCATTATCTTCATCTAATTATTTTATTTGGGATTTTTCAAATACACAAACTTTGTGGAATCATATGCATCACTCCGACAACACGAACTTATATAATAAGAGAGTGATTAAAAAATATTCGACAATTTTATCCCAAAGAAAAGACATTTTATGATGCAGAATATATATATATATATGAAAAAAAGGAAACGAAGCAATTATAGACTTGTAATTGAAAGAGAGTGAGACTTTATTCGATCGCATGAGACCAAAGATTATTTGGGAATTTATCAACAATGGGATTAATTAGGTTACCAGAGATTACAGCAGCAGACGTTGTCGGAAGCAAACGGGGGATAGCAATCGCCAGATTTGTAGTTCATGTTCTTGCATTTTGCATTGCATTTCACGTACTTGCATGTTTCATCGCACTCACTCCTGCATGGATTGTACCCGCTGTAGTCGCACTGAAATCTCTGCTGTGTTCCAAACCCTAATGCCAAATCATTCAAAGATCATAAAAAAAAAACCTATGCAATATATTTTTTTTATTTAAAAATCCATGCAATATTTTTCGCTAATAGAAGAACATAAACAATTAATGTACAAACCATCTAAAATGAAGATGGGGAAATGTACAAGTTACCTGAGGCGAGATGAGTGCGGCAATCCACAGCGGAGATGGCCAACAAAGTAGTGAGAACAAATGCGACGAATATTTTGTTGGTGAAATCCATAATGAAAATCTCTCGATGTAATTTCCTCTTATTGATTTAAATGATATTGTGCATATGACCACCATCATATATATATATACACACACACGCAGACCTTGTGCCACTAGGCCTCAAATTTTGAAGATCCCATAATTTTATAATTAGTTTTTACTATGTAAGAGCCCACAAAATCTTAACAATATTAAAGACATTCATTAGCACTTCATATTTTTATGTAAATTTTATACTTCAAATCCATACAAAAAATTTAAAAAATTATCTCAAATTAGAACTTATCATAAAATTGTTTTCTACAAATAAAATCATTATCTTTTTTTCAATAGAAAAATATAATCGTTTTATAAGATATTGAATATTTTTTAATTTCCATTTTTTTTTGTTACACTTTTTCATATAGAGAAAGTTATCATCCATTTTCGCTAACAATATCATTTATATAATTATATGAATTGAATGTTTATTTAATTTCTCGAGGTTATACGTTATGATAGTACTATAATTTAATTTAAATTTATTTTTATATAAAACGTAAAATTTCAATTTACAAATATTTATCATATTTTTTATATTATACATGATATAATTAAATTTTAAATTTTGAAATTTAATTTTATTATTTAGAAATTTTAAATTTTGTTCCCCAGAAATCTTATCTTTTTTAACGTTTTTATTCCATAACCATAACATATTGCATGCTTTTTTTTGGGGGGGGGGAACTAAAATTATTTGTCTTCCTCCTTTATATTCCAAACCATTATCGGGACAACATTTTGTACCGATTATTTTCCCTTTTCGTGCTAGAATCATATATATATATATTGTTTAATTTTGAGATCTTTACATGGAAAATTAAGATCCAAATGATCGAAGTTAAATCATTTTTCTCCAACCGAATTATTCAATGGCTTTGTTACGTTTCACTTATTAATATGGAATAGGGATTAAAATAATAGTAAAGAATGCAATTTTGTTCTTATCTAAAACAGAACCAGATAGACAATGTTTATCTACGGATATCAAAATTGTACCCAACCATCCGTGGTTATTTTAGGTATCGGTTATGTTTCCATGAGTTTTAGGTTTGAATTTTTCAATTTAATAAATATTAAATTTATTCGATTTTTATATCTAGCTTTTTATTGATTTGTTTGGTTTTATTGAGATTCATATTTGCTAAACGGCTGTTTGTTTTCTAAAATATCCTTTTTGTTAGAGATATTCGGTTATTTTATATTCTATTCAAATCGTTTAATTTGATTTAAAAAAATGTACCAAATCGATTTTAAAATAATGAGTAATGTCATCTTTTATTTTCTTTTGGTTGAAATTGATTTTATACATCGGAACCGAAATTTACACTCTAAAGATGGATTTTGTTATTTATAAGAAAAAAGCCCTCGCATGACTAAAGGCTAATAACAATAAAATGACCCGTAACTTGAAAATATATATTAATCTCTTTATAAAAATAAAACTAAAGGTAGTATACACCAATAATTCATTCAGTAGACATTTTGTTTCAATGATGACGTCAGAGACCTTTCCCAATATATACTTATATAGTAGTGGCAAGCTGCTTTTTTAAATCTTTATATTACATATTTCCTGTGATATGTTAATGTGAATAATGTCTAAAGTGAGTTTGGTCAGTACATCAACTTGTGACGAAGGTCGGATAATCTATTTCGTTCATCGGGATTCTTTGTGTATACTTTGCCTTGCCCTTTATATATATATATATACACACACACACATACATATATGATAATTTATTTTAAAGACGAGATGTTTGGTGATCGAAACAGATAACATATTTATTACCGAGCATAACGACACGAAAACACACGATCACTTAAACTCCAAACGGAAGCAGAACACGGCCATTCTAAGGTTTTCGGTGTAATTCACAGCCATTCTTGGTAAGCAACTCCGGTCGGCTTAAGCCACGAACCTCCCTGAATCAGCTTCGCCACCGTGAATTGCTCGGCCTCTTTCGGGTCCTTTATCACCCTATAACCTTTCCAATTCACTCTCTTGCTCGTGTCGGACCCTGGACCCGTATTCGCGTACTCCCCGTAATATAACGTCGACAAGGCGAAATCGCCGTCCCATGGGAACCAACCGGATGGATCGATGTGATCTTCGATGTAAGATTGCATGAAAACAGTTCTTGAATACATCTTCCATGGCCGTCCGAGGTAGGTTTTGAAGGTGCCCTTGACCGGAGCAAGATCCGAACTTGGTGTAACTTTACAGTTTTGGATCGAGGTTCCCGTGTTTTGATTCGGGTCTTCCCGTCCTTGAGCCGTCAGCATGTTTTTCTGACCTTTGTCTGGTTTTCTTGCCACGATGTCGCAGTTCTGGAAGACAACTGCTGCGTTTCCGAAGATGAAATCGACAGTTCCAGTGATGTAGGAGTCACGGTAGAATTGTCGGAGGGTGTGGGTGTAGAGTGTGTCTTGGTATGCGTCGATGCGGCATCGGTTAATGACGGCTTGGTCAGCCGAGACACGGAGCGCTACAGCCTGGTGCTTTTGCGGTCCGGCCGTGTTCTGGAACCATATGTCTTGTGCCATGAACCCATCTCCATTAGCCGCTGCGTTTGGTTTAAAAAAAAGCGTTGTCAGTGTTTTTTTTTTTTACTTTCTTTTTACTTTGATTGTCAACTTTTTCAACTTGATTGAGATTTAGTGGAATCTGAGTATGGTTGTCAACTTTTACATTTCAACGTATGATTTGTTGAATGTTTGACATGTAAGATATATAGCCTATAAACACAGTGTTTTGATATTTATAATATAACGTTATTCATAATAATAATATATAATAATTTGAGAGAAAGAAGAAAAAGTATCTTACCAAGTGTGGCGGATCTGAAGGTCGTGGATCCATCGACGACGTTCAAACTTCCAGTGATGATGGTTGCGTCTTGCCCCTCTCCAACGATCATTAAGTTCTTCTTGTTCTTCGCTATATCCACATTTTCCTTGTAAACCCCTTTTTTCACAAATATCACATACCTCTTTTGGCTATTTGCCGGAGCCGCAGCCACGGCCTCGTTCACCGTCTTGTACTTTCCGCTCCCGTCCGTGGCCACCACCACGTCCGCATTCGCCTGTACCTTCACGGGCTCGGATTCTAGAAGCTTCCT